TTGTAATTTTTATCCTTTAAAACTGGTCAAATTATATATGTTAATATTAAGTGTTCAAATGCCAAGACCCGGCCATTAATTTTCGAGGCAGGCTGACATTACATAGATTACATGGCCGTATTTTTCCGTACTACGATGATATACTGGCTATACTACGGGATCGGTCGGCTCCGGATCGGTGGCTTCTGTGGTCATAACCCCTTATCAACTAGCGTAAACGCAAATTCTTACATCCAACATCCATCTACATATGTGTGGACAATCTAGACTTTTTTTCTCGTTTCTTTTTTTCCCCCGCATAGTTCCCTGTCTGCCGTGCACGAACCCGAACATGGTACCAGCGTTGATCAGCTAGCCTCCAAATCTGGATATGCAAATTGTTCTCAACAATTTGAACGCAACATACCACTACCCAATTCGCAACTTTACGCCCTGCTGAAAGAAAAAGAAAGAAAAAACATGTAAGCCTCCTCCCACACGTATGCACATGTCTTAGTATAGTAAACGTAGACAACACGTCCATGTAAGATACCTCCTTGAAAAAGCCATGCATCGTTACCAAGGGGTCTAGAGGGCGATATTCATACTGTTAGTTGCGTGAACATCGTCTTTGAGTGCAGACCTCGTGCAACAATAAGAATCGAGACCGCTTGGAAGCAGTTGACGTTGCACGACTCCCTATCCTAGGGCAGATAGGGCTCAATCTAGAAGGATGCCAACCATGTTATACTACCCCTAGATATCATGTCGTAGCATACGCCATCGGCTACATGCACCCACAGATGCGATTCTGGTTTCACCGAGCGCTGTCTGTAATGCATCGTGTCAGCGATCTCGTGCTGGGAGATCTTGCATTAGGGCCAAGTCCAGATATATGTAGTCCAGATGTACATAGCAGCGGCTTCCCCGTATCAAATAAACAGGTTTTCCTAACCTACGGTAAGCCCCTCATGATTCACATCTGTACATCTTAGACACGCTGATCAAGCAGCTGAAATAACTATTCAGCTGGGTTAGTTGTCAACCCCGCCCATTAAGGGGAATACAAGGAAATACCTGAATGAAGAATGGGAAATATTTACATCTAGTAGTAACCAGGGAGAATTTTGGCGATTAAGCCCGTGCTAATCTAAATTGGGATGAAACTTGGTTGATATAAAACGCGCCTTATCTCTTATAAGTGAGTATTGGACGCGTATTTTCGCGTCGTGAATAGTGCGAAATCCCCGCCAACTTCTAATCAGCCCCTCGACATCCCCACGTGCCACTACACATATTAATCCAACTACAGTACGGCGCATTTCTTTCTTTCTTTCTTTATATAGCAAGAAGTCTTGCACTGTGTGGCTAGTGCTGAGGCCGGCATGATCAGTATCATGTTTAATTCAATATTACAATTCTATATATTACAATTCTATGTTACCAATTGAAACTCAAGATTATGCTAGTTCTGACTAAAAATGATGATCTGACTAGTTCCATGGTGAGAATTTTTGTTTTGTTTTGGATAATGCCTCGGTCCGAAGTCAGTCGGTGTCCCGTGTATGCTCCGATCAGTTCAACGGATTCTATTACAAGAGCCGGTCCCCAGCTAATACCCTAGCATCAACAATTTCAGCCGAAAATTTTAGCGAAATAACTAATCGCGTAATGTTGATCGTACGTATGAATACCCTAACTTCCGAAAGGTAGGTGTGGCACGAAAGGAGTGTTTGCCATATTAGCCGAGCTGCGCACCCATGAACTGTCTTAATACAGTTCCAGGCAGCCTCTCGCAAGATGTGCCTACCTACAAAAAATAAGAACAATATTAGTGACCTCCGTTAGGCGTCGGTACCTCGATGACTATGTGACCTATCTACGTGACCATCATGAGTCTGAGATGAGAATAGCTATCCAAATGCTTACATTACAATTGCATGTAAGTGCGTGTGACGCGGTAGCCTAGAATATAATGTAATATTGATTGTTGTTGCGGTGGGGGGGGGGGGGGGCGGGGGGGGGGGGGGGGGGGGGGGGGGGGGGGGGGGGGGGGGGGGGGGGGCGGGGGGGGGGGGGGTGGGGGGT